CTCTTGGTCAGCTCGGTCGGTCGTCCCTCTTTTGGTCAGCTCGGTCGGTCGTCCCTCTTTTGGTCAGCTCGGCCGGTCGTCCCTCTTTTGGTCAGTTCAGTCGGTCGTCCCTCTTTTGGTCAGCTCATACATACGACCCTTGCTATCACCACCCTCTGTTCACCCTTTGCCTCTCCGCCTGCCCTCGGCGTGCTGGTATCGGGAATGTCAGTGCAGCTACACAAAAGATGGACACAGCCTGCCAGGATACATCGAGCACCGGCCGAAAACGGGAACGCGCGGCAGAAGGGGACGATCAGAACGATGCCCTACGAGTCCGCTGTCACGAAAAGAGGGCCATTCTTTGAAATACGTCCAGGCCCTCATAAGGCCATGCCCTCCAAGTAGTAGGACCAGCCAATTATACCCCGGCTACTGCGGGATGACACTAGTGGCCAGTTATGGGTGACATGCCTGTTGCATCACCGCCGTTCGGGTCAGTGTATCCAACTGGTCAGTGACCCCGAATCCTAACCATCACAGACACTCTTCCGCGTATCTCAGCTTCCGGAGGGGCCTTCAGACTCCTCTTCCGGGCTGGTTGGCCAGAAATTTAAGAAACTGCAACCTTATAAGGAAACGCATTGCCATAGGCCTATGTTGTGTTTTTTTTTTTTTTTTTATTCAAACTCTGCAAAATATCAACCTTTCCACTTGAAAAAAAAATCATACTCAATAATAAGGGATCAATCAAGAAACATTTAGTAGCAAAACACCGGAATTTTCTTGTAAAGATAAGAAACTCAATAATGGACACTGACATAAGTTTGTTTCTGGGACAGAGAGTGGTTATCAAAAGATACTGCGTCGTACATCATACGCCAGCACGTGGTAATATGAAAAATTTTCAGGCTTTGCGTAGCCGGAAAAAGCCAAGACCGGTTCGCCATATAGTCCATTTACAACCACATCCAGATTATAAACGCTCCAACCGAAGATTCTTATATATCAATGCATATCCCCATATATTTAAAATATACAAAATACTCATAAATAACGTATTTATCAAGACGTATTCACACAAATCCACTGTTTTCTTATCTGGGGAACATCGGTACCAGGGGACACTGGTATTAGGGAACACTGGCACCGGGGAACACATATATCACTGGCACTTTATCGTTATTGGTAACAAGGGTTACCAGGAACATCGGCACCGGTAACCACAGGGACCGCATCGTATTTGGGTAACATAGGTACTGGGAAGCATCAGCATAACCCCACTTGAATTGGATATTGGGAACGCCAAGCCGTCTAGATATATTCCAGGTCTTAACAGGCACACTTCAGGGTTATGGCTACCGCAGTCATATCTAGGATAATCTATCAAATTTCAGTAATGCCAGACGCGCACATTTTAGTGTTGAGTCTTCAATCCAACCTTCTTTATCACCTTCCGTGATCATCTGTAATAAAGATCTAACAATCATTTCCACTGCGAAACTGGAAGCAGCCAGAGAGCCC